GGTATAAAGATTAAAAAACCTAAAATATATATTTCTAAGAATAAACTGCAATTTCTTATGAACAAGGTGCTATAAACTGCATGCAAGAGTCAAGATTAAAAATGTGTGGCCAAACAGACAAGCTGTGTTATAGCCAGATGAGTTGTGGTCCAAGCCCACTTTAATTTTTTTCTTACAGAGATATATATGGCTCAATAGGCAGGCACATGATCCCAGCAAGAAGTTGCAGAGTTGTACGGCTGGACAATAAATCTTGGCTGCAGCTTTGTCATTAACCAGGAATGAGCAAGACCTTAGCAGAAGAGATGAACAAGTTCTTGGGGAAAACCCATGAAGAAGGAGAAGCCTTCTCCCCTCCCCTCTCCTCTCTCACCCCCTCTCTCGGCCTAGCCAGGGTTCTCAAAGTCCATTCTTTGGGTTGCTTTAACTGGATTGCCGCTTAGGGTCTGCCTCAGATCGTGGAACTCTGATGAGATTTGAGAACATTTTCTATCTAATATTTTCTGCATTTAAGTTACTGAAATGGATGGGATAAAAATTAAATAAACTTTCAGACCTTTCCGGTTAGTTTGACTGAATGCAACACACTTGTCTAATGAGGGAGGATTTTACCAGAATAGGTATTTTAAACATGTAGGAGTGTTAGATTTATATGCTACAACAGACTGAATGGAACCAGTTCAATACTGATATTCATCATCTCCTGCCTCCCAAAGAGTTAAGTTTTATGCTCCTTCTCCAAAACACCTTTTTAAAAGGAATCATTTATTGGCTAAAGATACAAAACACATACAAGAAAAAGGAACACTGAATGCAAAATACAGGTTGCTTTTTTTTTTTCGGGGGGTGGGGGGGGACGGGACAACACATTCTTTCCTCCCCAGTGGATCTCTATTTGAACTAATACTTAAAGATTTGCAGGAGCAGTCTTCAAGCTTCTTACCAGATAACTCTACTGTGAGTATTTTTCTTACAGAGGCAAGGGTGGTCCTGGATGTCTACCAGTGGTTACGCTGCAATAGTGTCAAAGGATAAGGTAGATTTTCTGCAGATCACAAAGAGCTGTATGACAGTTAGTAGAGGGTGACAGCAAATAATTTAGTAGGAGAAAAAAACCCATCTGCTTCATCTGTCAGCTGAGGACTGCATATAAAAGAGCTTGAGAGAAAACACAGCTGGAGAAAATACGGAATTAAACAGTAGATCAAAAAAGCAATAAGGATGGGATGTGTCAGATACAAAATACACACACATACACACACTCTCCCTCTCTCGCACATGCACACCCCTGAATGTGGGATCACAGTGATAAAAGTTATAGATCGTAGAGAGCTAGTTACACTGCCATTAAACAAAAGTAACATCTTGCTTTCAAGAAATATCTGGTATTCCCCAGGACTATCAGTGCCTGAAAGAGGATGAGGTTTTTCATTGTGCTCTGCAACACAGCTGATCGTAGGTCTAAAGCCTGGCTGGGTAAGGAAGAACTGTTATGTGGAGGAGTTACCTTTTCTGCTGACACTTTTTTTTTTTCCCATCTATTCCTGGCACATGCTGCTATAGCAATAAAAAAAATGCATTTTGTTGAAACAAAGCTCTACATTCAAGTGACTTATTCTCCCATGTCTTATAAAGATGCAAAGAACGCTCTCTGGTCATCTAAGAAAATATATCTTAGATGCCTTGTAGCAATACTTAACTTACTATATGAGAGGTAGGCTTCTGGGTTCTAGGAGGCCTGCCACATCTAGGGCTGAGTTCTTAAAGCTTTAAGTTAAAGCAATCCAAAGCAGAGCAGTCTTAGAAGAGCTGCCCTGTCTAAACCTTGAGGTTAGTTCAAGTTTAGAATGTTGCAAAGCAAAACAAGTATTAAAATCCATTTGTAATTTTTGTTCTTACAGCTTTACCACAAGAACAGTGTGGCTTTTCATAGATATCTGTAAATAGATTCTCTTTTCTAGAGTATTGCTGCCAAGAGGTGAAGGCCTCCTACCCATGACTAGTAAAAACTGTCACTTTTTCCATTATGGCTGTTTTATGCTTAAAATTCCCAAAGGTGAACACTAAGTCTTACAGGCAAGCCATATAAATCTAATCTGAACTTGTTTTGTTGTAGCAGTTATTTAAGAATGGTGTTTGTATATACAGTATATATGCCCACACTGCAAACTTTATACATCGCTTTATATTGGTACCATTTTGTCTTAATTGCGACCAAGAATATTTTCCATTAGATCAGCAATAAGCACAGCTTGGCTTATTCCCCATTTTCCCTCCCTCAAGGGAAAAATCCAAGTGTGGGCATCAACCAAACCAATGGTATGTTACTAACTGAAATGCATTCTGTACAGTAAATTAAAAGTTTGCATGCAGTTTAAGCATTTTAAAGGCTATTTTCTTATATTAATTAACCTTCTGTTTCCATTTAAAGGTGTGAAAGACATCTGTCATATATCAAGGGACTCCTCTTCAGACCCAGAGACAAATGGAATCACAAAGACCAGGTACTTTCTTTCAGCTTTCTGCACATCTTACTAAATAACATGCAAAGAGTTCAACAGCATTCTTCTTAAAATGTAAATAGTACTCTTTAAATGGGCATGTTAACCACTGAAAGAAGTCCACTCTACTATACTTTTCCATTACACTGCTTTCATTCAATCATCGGTAGTATAAAAAGTCAATTAACGGGATCAACAGGCTAGTTTATCCACTGGCAACTGTGTATGACACCAAGTGTGCAGTAAAACAAAGGCCAACATGTTTATGCAATATAGTTGTACTGATTTGGGTTTTCTTTATCTCTTTCCATGTAGTCCCTGTCAATTAAGGATTCTATTCTCTTCTTAAGGTCAGCAGGCTGTAAAATAAAGCAGATGTCAGTATTACTACTTTGCAGTCAATGTTTCTCAGTTCATTCTTTCTACTTAAGGCAAATATCCATACTGTTTAAGATGGCTGAGGAAACAGAAATCACAGTTTAAAAAAGAAATCCCTTAAAGCATCAAAGCTTCTAAAGTATAATTGATTGAAGAGAAAGTATAATTGATTGAAGAGAAAGTATAATTGATTGAAGAGAAAGTATAATTGATTGAAGAGAAAGTATAATTGATTGAAGAGAAAGTATAATTGATTGAAGAGAAAGTATAATTGATTGAAGAGAAAGTATAATTGATTGAAGAGAAAGTAGAGCAGTTTTCAAGCTTCTTACCAGATAACTCTACTGTGAGTATTTTTCTTACAGAGGCAAGGGTGGTCCTGGATGTCCCAGTGGTTAGATTTGCAGGAGCAGTCTTCAAGCTTCTTACCAGATAACTCTACTGTGAGTATTTTTCTTACAGAGGCAAGGGTGGTCCTGGATGTCTACCAGTGGTTACGCTGCAATAGTGTCAAAGGATAAGGTAGATTTTCTGCAGATCACAAAGAGCTGTATGACAGTTAGTAGAGGGTGACAGCAAATAATTTAGTAGGAGAAAAAAACCCATCTGCTTCATCTGTCAGCTGAGGACTGCATATAAAAGAGCTTGAGAGAAAACACAGCTGGAGAAAATACGGAATTAAACAGTAGATCAAAAAAGCAATAAGGATGGGATGTGTCAGATACAAAATACACACACATACACACACTCTCCCTCTCTCGCACATGCACACCCCTGAATGTGGGATCACAGTGATAAAAGTTATAGATCGTAGAGAGCTAGTTACACTGCCATTAAACAAAAGTAACATCTTGCTTTCAAGAAATATCTGGTATTCCCCAGGACTATCAGTGCCTGAAAGAGGATGAGGTTTTTCATTGTGCTCTGCAACACAGCTGATCGTAGGTCTAAAGCCTGGCTGGGTAAGGAAGAACTGTTATGTGGAGGAGTTACCTTTTCTGCTGACACTTTTTTTTTTTCCCATCTATTCCTGGCACATGCTGCTATAGCAATAAAAAAAATGCATTTTGTTGAAACAAAGCTCTACATTCAAGTGACTTATTCTCCCATGTCTTATAAAGATGCAAAGAACGCTCTCTGGTCATCTAAGAAAATATATCTTAGATGCCTTGTAGCAATACTTAACTTACTATATGAGAGGTAGGCTTCTGGGTTCTAGGAGGCCTGCCACATCTAGGGCTGAGTTCTTAAAGCTTTAAGTTAAAGCAATCCAAAGCAGAGCAGTCTTAGAAGAGCTGCCCTGTCTAAACCTTGAGGTTAGTTCAAGTTTAGAATGTTGCAAAGCAAAACAAGTATTAAAATCCATTTGTAATTTTTGTTCTTACAGCTTTACCACAAGAACAGTGTGGCTTTTCATAGATATCTGTAAATAGATTCTCTTTTCTAGAGTATTGCTGCCAAGAGGTGAAGGCCTCCTACCCATGACTAGTAAAAACTGTCACTTTTTCCATTATGGCTGTTTTATGCTTAAAATTCCCAAAGGTGAACACTAAGTCTTACAGGCAAGCCATATAAATCTAATCTGAACTTGTTTTGTTGTAGCAGTTATTTAAGAATGGTGTTTGTATATACAGTATATATGCCCACACTGCAAACTTTATACATCGCTTTATATTGGTACCATTTTGTCTTAATTGCGACCAAGAATATTTTCCATTAGATCAGCAATAAGCACAGCTTGGCTTATTCCCCATTTTCCCTCCCTCAAGGGAAAAATCCAAGTGTGGGCATCAACCAAACCAATGGTATGTTACTAACTGAAATGCATTCTGTACAGTAAATTAAAAGTTTGCATGCAGTTTAAGCATTTTTAAAGGCTATTTTCTTATATTAATTAACCTTCTGTTTCCATTTAAAGGTGTGAAAGACATCTGTCATATATCAAGGGACTCCTCTTCAGACCCAGAGACAAATGGAATCACAAAGACCAGGTACTTTCTTTCAGCTTTCTGCACATCTTACTAAATAACATGCAAAGAGTTCAACAGCATTCTTCTTAAAATGTAAATAGTACTCTTTAAATGGGCATGTTAACCACTGAAAGAAGTCCACTCTACTATACTTTTCCATTACACTGCTTTCATTCAATCATCGGTAGTATAAAAAGTCAATTAACGGGATCAACAGGCTAGTTTATCCACTGGCAACTGTGTATGACACCAAGTGTGCAGTAAAACAAAGGCCAACATATGTTTATGCAATATAGTTGTACTGATTTGGGTTTTCTTTATCTCTTTCCATGTAGTCCCTGTCAATTAAGGATTCTATTCTCTTCTTAAGGTCAGCAGGCTGTAAAATAAAGCAGATGTCAGTATTACTACTTTGCACTCAATGTTTCTCAGTTCATTCTTTCTACTTAAGGCAAATATCCATACTGTTTAAGATGGCTGAGGAAACAGAAATCACAGTTTAAAAAAAGAAATCCCTTAAAGCATCAAAGCTTCTAAAGTATAATTGACTGAAGAGAAAGTATAATTGATTGAAGAGAAAGTTACAAAATTAGCTTGTCACCTGCAGCTAAGCATAGACTTTTTACAGCAGGGAAAGAGATTTGCTGCTGTTTAAACTGAACTCTACTTTAAAGAACTGCAATTCATGCATTACATACCAAAGTGTTTCTATTTCTGACTTTTACCTAGTAAAAGATAGTACAAGTTTCATTTTTTCTTGATGCGAGTGAGTTCTGCCACAGTTTGGGTGCCCTATGATTTTGTTGGGTAAAGGACTTTATAAAAATGCCTCATGATAAAGAGTGAGGAAAAACATTTAAATCATCTGTTATAACCCTGCAAAGCCCAGCTGCAGTTTATGCAATACTTACAGGCCTGCAGGAACTTAACATGGTAACAAAACAGAGTGAGATGGCAGTACCTTTTATTTTACATTTCCATTGATAGAAAGCACTGTATATTTGAAGTCAAACAGATGCATCAGTCTATTTGAAAACCCATTTCCATTTGTACACAATAAGTAAGCTATTCATTTTATATTGTAACTGTGGGCTTCTTTAGCTTTGAGACATTCACCAATATCTAATTTTCATTCCACATATATATGTGTGTGTGTATGCATATATATATTAACCAATATAATCTGTCTGGAAAAACCACTGTACATTTATTGGTACCACTGTACATTTACTGGTTACTAATTTATTAAAAAGTATCAACCAAATTAAGAATCAAAACGAATTCTGCATTACATATCTGAATCATTTTCCCCTTGTCCCCAAGAACGCATTGCCAGAACACTTAAGTGCAAGAAGAAGAGCGTACAAGGAGAGCTAGCTTCACAGTTACTGCTAACAGACTCTGGTTCTGAAAGCCTTTGGTAGTAGGTTTTATTAACTTACTAAGAGCCTGAGGTAATATTCAGATAAATGAATGCAACTGGCATTTTAAAAATTCCTGAAAGTGAGTGTTTGTCCTTCCCAATAGTAAAAAGATGCATGTTTTAGACAGAAGCACTGTTTCACTGAGGACAGGCCAGGGAATATAAAAAGAAGTAGTAAAGTTTTAGAAGAAGAAAAATCAATACTACACCTTTACTGGGAATTTAAGCTGGTTGTAGACCTCTGACACAAGCAGGTTATGACTCAGTGTCTTGCGCATCTTCATGATTCGTACAATTGCAGCATCAATCTGGTATTGCCGGTCCTGGAATACTCTCTCTGTAGTGCTTGCCTGTTCTTCTACCTGAAGGATCCATTCAGAAAAGTTTCAAAGAGAACATTAGAACTGTCAAAACAATTCTTCTTCGTATCTCTAAGACAATTCTTAGTGTAAGACAGTAAAATGTCTGTTGTCAAATATTTGACAAATCCTTTACAAACATGAAGACCAATTATTAAAAAACCCACTTGTACAAGGAGTTAAAATCTTCACACAGATTTTACATTGGATGGCTGTCAGGGAAAATTCACTGTGAATGCGTGTCTATTTTCATAAACCATTTAGTAAAGCTCCAAGGGTGAAAAGAACATTCACTAATTGGAACTTTATTAAACAACCTTATTTAGAGACATCTAGCATCACTGGTGTCTAAGTTAGTATGGAAGCACACATTTAAGTCTGCATTGTTAGGTACGTGCTATCATCCAAATTATACATTTAACTTTTACAAAGATACCAGTATGTACGTTACAACCGAGAGGAAAAAAGCTTGTAAATGGGCAGGCAACAAGATACTTAACCCAAGGATCTAAACCCCAGGGGATTAAAAAGAATATACCGTTTCTTTCATCTGAATTTGGTTGATCTTTATCCTGAAGAGCTTATGTCTGAAATCATCATTACATGTGAATTTATCACCGTCTTCCACATCTTTGCCTTTGGGGCTTTTAGTCAGTACTCTGGCTTTGCCACAAGCCAGAGATTGAAGTGTCCTTCTCAGCTCTCCATCCTCTAAAGCAGAAACAAGTTGTTTAGGTTTTTTTTTGGTAAGAACACTTGGAAGTAGTCAGCTGTTTTCAGTACCAACCTATCCCAGTAGCTTGCTTTATCTCCTCTAAACTGAACTCCTCTCCTTCATTAAACATGAGCAGCACCAGTGTCTGGAACAAGGAGACCTGAAGTTCTTTTTTGCCCTGTCACAAGAGAAATTAACAGACATCACTAGGCTGGTGTTTTGTTTGGTTTTTTTTTTTTTTTTTTTGGGGGGGGGGGGGGGTGTGGGGGG